ATTTATACCTATTCTCCTTCACACCCATAGGCTTTGTGAGGAGAATTACTCAACACCTAGAGAGGCAGGTTAAACAAAACAACATACAAGGATGCAATGGGATCTCAATTTACTCAGAAATACCAAAGTCAATTAAATCTGCTTCTAAGCAGATACATTTAGGATAGTGCTATAAATATCTTTGAGGAAGTTCAGGAAGTAAGGATCTGTAAAAGAAGAAAATGATGAGTGTAGGATCTACATTAAATACACACCCATACATACAAACAAGGGTGAAAGATATAGTCTTGCCTTGTATTGGCTTAACACATTTTTTATTGATTATGAGCCATCAAGTTGTTTTTGACTCCTAGCAATCACATCGATTTTCTCCATGAGTCTTTTCCAAAAGTCTTCAAAAGCATCAATGCTCTTCCTACCCTGCTTCTTCAAAGTGCAACTTTTGCTTCCATAGAGTATCACAGGGAGTACCATGGCTTACATGATTCTGATCTTTGTAGGTATGGACAAATCATGGCATTTGAATATCTTTTCCAAGTTCTTCATGACTGCCTTATCAAGTGCTAGTCTGCAGCATATTTCTTAACTGTTTGTTTTTCTTAGTGTTGATGTTTGATCCTAAAAGGCAGAAGCTATCTACCACTTTGATATCTTCATTGCCATTCTACAGCTGGTTGTTCTACCTGTTGGCATTAATTTGATCTTCTTTATATTTAATCTTAGTCCCATTCTGTTTTTACTGTGCTACTTGACTTTTATTACTAGAGCTTGCAGATCCTTTGCATTTTCGGCTATCCGGGTAGTGTCATCAGCATAGTGCCAGTTACTGATGTTTCTTCCTTCAATTTTAAAACCACACTCATTTTCTGGAAACCCAGCTTCCCTTAATATATATTCAGCATATACTGTAGGTTGAATTAATAAGGGGAGAGTATACAGCCTTGTCTCACTCCTTTGCCAACCTGGAGTCAGTCTGTTTCACCACGTTCTGTCCATACTGTGATTTCCTGACCTGTATATAAGTTTCTCATGAGGACAATGAGATGTTCTGGGATTCCCATTTTTTCTGAGCACATTCCACAGCCTGATGTGATCAACACAATCAAAGGCCTTTCTATAATCAATGAAGCACATAGTGACTTATTTTTGGTATTTTTTTGCTTTCTCGATTATCCAGCATGCATCAGCAATAACGTCTCATATTCCTTGGCCTTTTCTAAAGCCAGCCTTAATATCTGGCATCTCTTTTTCCATGTAGGATTTTAATCTGCATTGGATGATTCTAAGCATTATTTTGCTAGCGTGTGAAATTAAGGATATTGCATGCTAGTTCGCATACTGTTAAGTCTCCTTTTTTTGGTATTGGAATGTAGATTGACCTCTTCCAATATGTTGGCCACTGTGTTGTCCTCCAGATTTGCTGGCATAGCTTGGCTAGAACTTTGACTGATTCTTCAATATTTCAATGGTTATTCCATCAGTTCCTGTAGCCTTCTGACTTGGTAATGACTGGAGTGCTGATCTAACTTCATCTTCTAGTACTAGAGGTTCTTGTAAATAGGGAATATCTTCTAAGGTATATTGGATGTTGACATCTCTATTGTACAGTATTTCAGTATACTCCTTACATCTTAATTTGATTACCTTTGAATTAGTTACTATCTTTCCATTGGAGTCCTTTAGCATACCATTTTGGGGTTGGAATTTCCTTCTGAGTTCAGAGATCTTTTGAAAGACTTTCCTTGTTTTTCCATGTCTGTTTCCATCTTCAATGTCTGTAGAGATGTTGTTTTAATATTACTTCTTGTCTCTTCTAATAACTCTCTGAAACTCTTTGTTAAATTCTTTTCTGAGATTTTTGTCTTCCTTGGCTTTGGCTTCTCTTATCTTCTTGACAATTTCCATGGTTTGTCTGATATCCAGTTTGCTTTCTTCTGTTTCTTCATTTTTAGCAGTCTCTTTTCACATTAACAACTTCTTTAAGTTTATTCCACAATTCCTCTGTTATCTCAGTGAGATTCAGGACTTCAAAGCAATTCCTGATGTTCTCCTTGAAAATGGTGGGTATATGTTCAAGATCATATAATGGAAACTGACTGGCTTTCTTCTTCTTCTTTAACTTAACTTGGAACTTGCACATGAGGAGTTCATGATCTGTCTAGAGAACAAGGAAAGAAAATTTTTTGATCAATAATAGTCTAATTTTTTTTCTTCAAAGGAAGAACATTGATAACTTCATGCAAACATTCCAGAATGGATTACATTGTGTTACTGATAGATTAAATGACTAATTGACTTCTACACCTTTTGGCCAAAGCAGCTGAAGTATTTTATAATCTTAAAATAATAAATCAGACTCCTGTTTGTTCACAAATTTACAATCTGATTTACAAGTAGTTTAATAGAACAGACTCCTCTCAGGTTTACTGAAGGAACTTTCAAGAGTTAATGTCTGAAGCAACTTTTCTTTTGCCTATTTGCAAGCACACTAATCTGAAGTAGACTTCCTGGAACTGGGTCATGGCTGCTCCAGCAGCTCTCTCAGTGGAATAGCAACTCTAGCTGAATCATCACTGAACTGGGGCTAAAAGGAGTCAATTCTTAATCTAGGTGTGTTTATAAAAGGAGGAAAAAAGAAGTGGGAAGTCTGCTACTACTCTCAGTATTATAACTCTATTCCCTTAAGTCTCTGAAAATTCTTTCCAGTTCCCTGCTCCATCCAAGTAATAAGTTAAAATGATCTCTCTATGTAATATCTGAAATTATGTTAAACTATATAAAGGTATTTTCTTTTACCTCTGAAACTACTCTGAATGCAGGTGCTTGTTACTGCCAGATATACCAGTGTGTTCAACTCTGCAAACACCTAGGACAATTGATGATCTCTTTGAAAGCTAATGACATAAACTGCCTTGCCTATGGTCTTTCACCTCTCCTTTGCAAGCTCACTTCATTGCAGGTGTAATTCTAAGCAGAGATTAGAAATCAAAAATTCAATTTCCCTCCCCATTCAATACTTCCAAGAATTCTCAAGCATCAGAAAGAGCATAATTTCATATGTATTTTATTGGATATATTAGGGTTTTACCCTCATCCATAAGATAGCGATGGCACAAGAGAGCAGTAGCTAGCCATTGACAGCTAAATGTTTTTCAGCTGGCCAAACTACTTTGCTTTTCATGTCATGTCCATGTTCAGCTTGCAGCAATGCCAAGGTTTTTGCTCAAGACGACATTGTTTTTCTGTTTTTGGGGTGGAGTTTCTTCACATCAATTATGGGAGCTAAAGATGAGTCAGAATTCTATTCTGCTTCTTGGCAATGAGCCTCTGGCAGGAACTCTGAAAAAGTTTTTTTGTGAGAAGGGAATCCATATAAGCATTTTAACTGAAGAGTAAAACAGTAAATAAATTGCTCAGAAAGAATCCAGTTCCTTTGAGAGAAATAAAAGGTTACTTTGTATGGTAAGCCACTCAGAGAACTGTAGGGAATAAAAAGAGAAATAATATGTGGTTCATTTGAAGCTTTGTCCATAACATGACCCCAACTTTGTTTGATTGTTGATAAGATTTATAAACCACTTCACTCCAAAGGCTTTAAGTGGCATACAAAATCAAATACTGTATATAACATAATGTAATTAAAATGATAAACCTGTAGTAAAATATTCCATTCTGATCAATGATTTTAAAACAAGCACATGAAATTGGCATCCATTTTTGTACACAACAATATTATTATTATCCTCTGAATGACACATCCCATTCAAAGTTAAAAATCTAAAAGGGTAGCATTAGGATGCGGTACCACTATTATGACAGAATGGTACAGCTAAGCACTGTCAGCCCTTCTGTCATGTGGTCTCCCAGGCATACCAGCTATACTTGGAGATGGTGAGCTCGGCCTGGAAAAATGGAGGGCAAAACAGATGAGCACATTCACACACAAAGGAACTTTCTCATGTGAGGGGGGAGAAAGGACGTGAACATGGCCTGATGACCTGGCAGGAAGTAAGTTAGAGCTTTGGAAAGGAAGATGAAGATGGATAAGCAAGCCAAAATGGATTTAGACAGTGTTGACTATTGCTGATTTTCTGGTTCTGCAGTGGATCAAGACCACTGAAGAGCTCCAGGGTGAATGGAAGATCACTAAAGATGGGGAGTATCAGACTTCAAGGGATCATGCCTATATGACCAGAGGGAGGTGAATCAGAAGAAAGAAGAGCAACTTGCTGTCAACCACAAGAGACACTACACATGTTTAAATTATATATTGCCTCATTAGAAGAAACATTACATGGTAGGCAGGGAACTAGTACCTGGGAATGATAAAACAAGCAATACATTAATTTACTGCTTTTTATTGCATATCAGACTCTTTAATGGCCAAAGCAGTACAGGGGAGGGGGAACCGAAGAACGGTTTGTTTCTCTGTACTAACTAAATGCTGCATAATTAATCTTACCAAGACTTTTCTATTTGTGCTATGAATAAGGCAGAAAAAAGAGTTCACAATAATATTTTTGCATGCTGGTTGATCCTGAGATCCCATTCCACCAAAGCCTTATGACAACTATCATCCAGTAAAACACTTCAGAAAGAAAGAATGTATCTTATCACAACTAACAGATGATTTTCTATATTTACTAGATGCAATTTCCTACGTATTGGTAAAAACCCGTTGTCTGCTGCAGCTGTAGGAATGCAGTATCCTTAATTCCTGGGATACATCTGATAGCAATACTAATAGAAATGTGGTGATGGTAGTTCATTTACAGTTTGCAAACTCTGCTGGGCTTGCTTCTATATTTGTGATGGCAGGGTTAGTAAATACAGTGGTACCTTGGTTCACAAACTTAATTCGTTCCACGGTTCTGGTTGCGAACCGAATTGGTCACCAACCGAATCAAATTT